ATTTATTGTAGAGATGAGGTCTCGCTGCCCAGGCAGGTCTCGAACCCGCGGGCTCAGGCAGTCCATTTGCCTCAGCCTCCCAAAGGTGCAGGATTACAGGCTGAGCCACCAAGCCCGGCTCATTTCTTTAATTTAGTTTGTAGTTTCTAGAAAATACGTGACAGAGCCAAGTGGTAGGATAACAGTCTATCTGCTGGGTTTTGTTTCCCCTAGTTAGGAGAAATTTGATATTCTTTCTCTCTCTCTCTCTCTCTCTCTCTCTCTCCCTCCCCTCCACCTCTCTCTTCACCTCACTCATCCCCTCTCCCGTACCCTTGTAATAATAAAATGTGTTTTAAATTAGTGAATTCCCAAAAGTCAGGGGTACTTCTACAGGTGTACGTCAATTTAAACAAGAGATACATTGGAAAAAAATCAACATTTGATTAATATTTTAAGTGCTGTATGAGTAATTTGCAGTTTAAAGAAATCTTATTATATTCCTTTGTAAACCAAGTGATAATTCCTTGATTTACTTTGTTAAAACTAGGATTTTGTGTAATATAATAACAAATTTTAAATATATTTATCAAATTTTAGCCAACTTTTTTAAACCTTTTCTTAGTATATTTTCTGAAGGAAAATTGATTAGTGCACTTGGTAATATTGTTTCCAATCAAAGAGGAGTTATTTTCCAGCCTGACATGCTGTTTCTTATCAACCCAGAAAAGCTGCTGTTACAAATGCAGTTAAGTCAAGAATTTGCTAAAATATAGTTCTCATCCTCTTGGTGTGGGACATTATATTTTGGTGATGAAATGCTAGGCATAGCCAAAAAAACCATGTTCTTTAGACTTAAACTGGCAGTTCACTAGAATATCTTGATTTTTCTTGATTTGTTCGTACATTGGAAATTACAGTGAATAGAATGAGCACTACAGATTTGAAGTTCACTGCATCTAATAATAGTTAATACTTACTTAGCATTTACTGTTGGTTCATTTACTAAATATGTATTGAGCGCTTACTGTGTGCCCAGAACAGTTCAGGTGCTGGAGATCCAATTATGAACAAAATACACAAAAATCACTATCCCCTGGAACTTCCAATCTAATGGCACCATTCTTGGTATTTTTATATTACTTAATTCTCACATCTCCATTTTTCACAAGAGGAAACGGAGAACTGGAGGTTAACCATCATACCACAGCTTGTAAGTGATAGAGCCAGGATTCAGAGCTAGGCAATCTGGCACTGGAGTCTGTTCTCTTAACCAATAAACTATGAGCTGGTCAGATTGGCAATTTGTTTCTAATTGTCCAAATCAGGAAACAATCACAGAAGTCATTTACTTTATATGCTTTGGGATAAAACTGGATAGAATAGAGGGAGCAGGTAACTAAACTTACTTAGAAGCTGAGATTAAAAACAGTTTAAGAACTCTTATGTCACTTGGGCAACAGAAAGAGACTCTGACTCAAAAAAAAATCTTTTTTTTTAAATGATCTCCCTTATGATACAAAAAACCCCACCATCTTTAAACTGATATATCTTATTTAAACCTAGAATGTGTCAAGACTGGCCTTTGCTTTTTTTCTGGAAATGCAGTAAATGACACATTTTTTTCAGTTCTATATACCAGCCAGAAATAGGAACCAGGTACCTGACTCCCAGTTGCTACTACTTCCTCTTATTAAGTAAATCAATAGTACTTATGAGAAGCAGTATGTTATATTGCTTAAAACAACATGGATTTTAGATTCAGACTGGGGTTGGTTTTGGCTGTCACATGTGTTACAACCACTAATCTTCAGTTTCCTTCTTCATAAAATGTAGATATTAGTATTTAGTACTAGGGCAGTTCTGAGTATTAAATACAAATGCCAGTATAGTGCCTGATATATAAGATAATTCTTTGTGGAAATTTATCATGGAAAAAATTTATTTTTCTCTTTAGTGAAGCATTAATATTGGGTTTTTCCCCGCTTGGTTAGCTGTTTATCTGCTATTCTTTTTTTTTTTTAGTTAAGTCTCACTCTGTTACCCAGACTGGAGTACAGTGGCACACTCACAGCCATCACAGCCTTGACCTGCTGGGCTCAGGTGATCCTTCTGCCTCAGCCTTCCAAGTAGCCCGGCCTTGTCTGCTATTCTATTTATCCTGTCTTCAATAAGATCAAGAATCTCTGCTCATAATCCGGAAAAAAAACCCCTTTTTTTTGTTGGCTGGGTATGGTGGCTCAAGCCTGTAATCCCAGCACTTTGGGAGGTGGAGGCGAGAGGATTGCCTGA